GTGCTCCAACCCTAGCAACATCCTTGTAAATCTTTTCTCAACTCTTTCAAGTTTCACAGCATCTTTCCGATAGCAGGGAGACCAGAATTGCATGCAGTATTCCAAAGGTGGCTTAGCCAATGTCCTGTACAGCCACAACATGACCTCTCAACTCCTATACTCAATGCACTGACCAATAACAGCTAGAATTCCAAACACCTCTTTCACTATCCGATCTACCTGTGACTCCACTTTCAAGGGACTACAGACCTGCACTCCAAGGTCTGTTTGTTCGGCAACACTTCCCAGGAACTTACCATTGAGTTTATATGTCCTACCCTGATAACATCTTTCCGAAATCAGAGAGATTAGAATTGAGCACAGTATTCTAAAATTGGCCTCCCCAATGTCCTATTAGCCACAACATGACCTCTCAACTCCTATACTCAATCATATAATCCCTACAGTGTGGAATGAGGCTATTTGGCCCATGAGTCCACATCAACCATCTGAATAGCATCCCACCCTGACCCTTTAACCCTGCATTTCCCAAGGCTAATCCACCTAACCTGCACATCTTCAGATCTAGGAGGAAACTGGAGCACCCGAAGGAACCCCGTGCAGCCACAGGCAGAATGTGTAAACTCCACACAGAGTGGAATTGAACCCAGGTCCCTTTATTGATCAAAGCACTGACCAATAAAGTCAAGCATGCCAAATGCCTTCTTCAGCACCTGATCGACATGAAACTACACTTTCCAGGAACTGTGCACTTGTTTTTATTGATTTATTGTCATGTGTACTGAAGTATAGCATAGAACATAGAACATTACAGCGCAGTACAGGCCCTTCGGCCCTCGATGTTGCGCTGACCTGTGAAACCAATCTGAAGCCCATCTAACCTAAACTATTCCATTATCATCCATATGTTTATCCAATGACCATTTAAATGCCCTTAAAGTGGGCGAGTCTACTATTTTTGCAGGCAGGGCATTCCACGCCCTTACTACTCTCTGAGTAAAGAACCTACCTCTGACATCTGTCCGATATCTATCACCCCTCAATTTAAAGCTATGTCCCCTCGTGCTAGCCATCACCATCCGAGGAAAAAGGCTCCCACTGTCCACCCTATCTAATCCTCTGATCATCTTGTATGTCTCTATCAAGTCACCTCTTAACCTTCTTCTCTCTAACGAAAACAGCCTCAAAACCCTCAGCCTTTCCTCATAAGACCTTCCCTCCATACCAGGCAACATCCTGGTAAATCTCCTCTGCACCCTTTCCAATGCTTCCACATCCTTCCTATAATGCGGTGACCAGAACTGTACGCAATACTCCAAGTGCGGCCGCACCAGAGTTTTGTACAGCTGCAACATGACCTCATGGCTCCGAAACTCAATCCCTCTACCAATAAAACCTAACATACTGTACGCCTTCTTAACAACGCTATCAACCTGGGTGGCAACTTTCAGTGATCTATGCACATGGACAACGAGATCTTTCTGCTCATCCACACTACCAAGAATCTTACCATTAGCCCAGTACTCTGTATTCCTGTTACTCCTTCCAAAGTGAATCACCTCACACTTTTCCGCATTAAACTCCATTTGCCACCTCTCAGCCCAGCTCTGCAGCTTATCTATGTCCCTCTGTAACCTGCAACATCCTTCCGCACTATCCACAACTCCACCGACTTTGGTGTCATCCGCAAATTTACTAACCCATCCTTCTACGCTCTCATCCAGGTCATTTATAAAAATGACAAACAGCAGTGGCCCCAAAACAGATCCTTGAGGTACACCACTAGTAACTGAACTTCAGGATGAACATTTCCCATCAACCACCACCCTCTGTCTTCTTACAGCTAGCCAATTTCTGATCCAAACCGCTAAATCACCCTCAATCCCATGCCTCCGTATTTTCTGCAATAGCCTGCCATGGGGAACCTTATCAAATGCTTTACTGAAATCCAAATACACCACATCAACCGCTTTACCCTCATCCACCTGTTTGGTCACCTTCTCGAAGAACTCAATAAGGTTTGTGAGGCACGACCTACCCTTCACAAAACCGTGTTGACTATTCCTAATCAAATTATTCCTTTCCAGATGATTATAAATCCTATCTCTTATAATCCTTTCCAACACGTTACCCACAACCGAAGTAAGGCTCACTGGTCTATAATTACCAGGGTTGTCTCTACTCCCCTTCTTGAACAAGGGGACAACATTTGCTAGTCTCCAGTCTTCTGGCACTATTCCTGAAGACAATGACGACATAAAGATCAAAGCTCTCTCTTTAGGTCCTTCCTGGCTAACTTGTAACTCTCAAGCGCCCTAACTGAGCCTTCACGCCTCATCTCTACATAAGCCTCCTTCTTCCTCTTGACAAGAGATTCAACTTCTTTAGTAAACCACGGTTCCCTCGCTCGACCACTTCCTCCCTGCCTGACAGGTACATACTTCTCAAGGACACGCAGTAGCTGTTCCTTGAACAAGCTCCATATTTCAATTGTGCCCAGCCCCTGCAGTTTCCTTCTCCATCCTATGCATCCTAAATCTTGCCTCATTGCCTCATAATTGCCTTTCCCCCAGCTATAACTCTTGCCCTGCGGTATATACCGATCCCTTTCCATCGCTAAAGTAAACGTAACCGAATTGTGGTCACTATCACCAAAGTGCTCACCTACCTCCAAATCTAACACCTGGCCTGGTTCATTACCCAGTACCAAATCCAATGTGGCCTTGCCTCTTGTTGGCCTATCTACATACTGTGTCAGGAAACCCTCCTGCACACATTGGACAAAAACTGACCCATCTGAAGTACTGGAACTATAGCGTTTCCAGTCAAAAGTTGGAAAGTTAAAGTCCCCCATAACAACTACCCTGTTACTTTCGCTCCTATCCAGAATCATCTTTGTAATCTTTTCCTCTACATCTCTGGAACTTTTCGGAGGCCTATAGAAAACTCCCAACAGGGTGACCTCTCCTTTCCTGGTTCTAACCTCAGCCCATACTACCTCAGTAGACGAGTCCTCATCAAACGTCCTTTCTGCCACCATAATACTGTCCTTGACTAACAATGCCACACCTCCCCCTCTTTTACCACCTTCCCTGATCTTACTGAAACATCTAAACCCCGGAACCTGCAACAACCATTCCTGTCCCTGCTCTATCCATGTCTCCGAAATGGCCACAACATCGAAGTCCCAGGTACCAACCCATGGTGCAAGTTCACCCACCTTATTCCGGATGCTCCTGGCATTGAAGTAGACACACTTCAAACCACCTTCCTGCCTGCCGGTACACTCCTGCGACCTTGAAACCTTATTTATGACCTCACTACTCTCAACCTCCTGTACACTGGAGCTACAATTCAGGTTCCCATCCCCCTGTTGAATTAGTTTAAACCCTCCCGAAGAGCATTAGCAAATTTCCCCCCCAGGATATTGGTACCCCTCTGGTTCAGGTGTAGACCATTCCGTTTGTAGAGGTCCCACCTACCCCAGAATGAGCCCCAATTATCCAGGTATCTGAATCCCTCCCTCCTGCACCATCCCTGTAGCCACGTGTTCAACTGCTCTCTCTCCCTATTCCTCACCTCGCTAGCACGTGGCACGGGTAACAAACCAGAGATAACAACTGTGTTTGTTCTCGCTCTAAGCTTCCACCCTAGCTCCTTGAATTTCTGCCTTACGTCCCCATCCCTTTTCCTACCTATGTCGTTGGTGCCTATGTGGACCACGACTTGGGGCTGCTCCCCCTCCCCCTTAAGGATCCCGAAAACACGATCCGAGACGTCACGGACCCTGGCACCTGGGAGGCAACACACCAACCGCGAGTCTCTCTCATTCCCACAGAATCTCCTATCTGTCCCCCTAACTATGGAGTCCCCAATGACTAATGCTCTCCTCCTCTCCCCCCTTCCCTTCTGAGCAACAGGGACAGACTCTGTGCCAGAGACCTGTACCCCATGGCTTACCCCTGGTAAGTCGTCGCCCCCAACAGTATCCAAAACGGTATACTTGTTTTTGAGGGGAATGGCCACAGGGGATCCCTGCACTGTCTGCCTGTTCCCTTTCCGTCCCCTGACTGTAACCCATCTACATTTTTCCTGTCCCTGAGGTGTGACTACCTCCCCGTAACTCCTCTCAATTACCCCCTCAGCCTCCCGAATGATCCGAAGTTCATCCAGCTCCAGCTCCAGTTCCCTAACACGGTTTCCGAGGAGCTGGAGTTGGGTGCACTTCCCGCAGATGAAGTCAGTGGGGACACTAGTGGTGACCCTTACCTCCCACATTCTACAGGAGGAGCATACAACTGCCCTAACATCCATTCCCACTGTTCTGAATTCCCAAACAGACAAATAAAAAAAAACTAGTAGCCTTACCAAATCAGCGCTCAGAACCTTTTTTTTTTGGTTAGAGGAGGAGGATGGGTGGGAGACACTACCTAGGTAGTGTTTCGGGTAAAGCAACCGCCCAAATATATTACCTCACTTACTCCAAAAATGGAGTCACGCGAGGTAAGACTTTTATAATCGAAAAGCTCACCTTCCCAGGCTGCCCTCGCGCGTCCTCCCAGACTCCCGCCGCTGAAACAACTGAAAGGCCGCAGTCACGCGAGGTAAGACTTTTATAATCGAAAAGCTCACCTTCCCAGGCTGCCCTGTAGTGAAAAGCTTTCGTTTATAAGGAAGGATGTACAGATCAAAAAGACTTAGAAGCATACAGGTTACATTGAAGGGTATGGGGAGAAAACAGGAAGAGGATTGAGTTGTAGATCTATAAAATGCCTCTCCTTCATGCCTATCTCTCCCATCTCTATCTCTTTCTGTAGTTTTGAGCAAACACTGACTGGTTCCCTTCCCTGAAGGACATTTATGAAGCAGTTCAGTTTTAATGATCATCCAGCAGTTTCCCTAAGTATCATCTCCACAAGTGACCAAATTAATTTCTCTCAGTTTCACAACTTGTGTGTTCTTCTGGTTTCTCCTAATACATTTTTTTTTCTGTTTGAAAGGTTGTTTTGCAATGAGAGATTTCAAATGAAACCACATCCAGATCTGACAGTCACTCTGTTTGTAATAACCTAATTATCTGAGGATTTTGAACACTGGAGGAAAAAGCACTGTTCACACTGGGTAGAAACACGTATCGACTGTGTGTGGAAGAGTCTGTGAAGATTCATCTGAAATGTCCAAACGCCAGTGCACTCACACGGGTGAGAGACTGTGGAAATGTGGGGATTGTGGGAAGGGATTTCTTTACCCATCCCAGCTGGAAATGCACCAACGCAGTCACACTGGGGAAAAACCATTCACCTGCTCTGATTGTGGGATGCGATTCACTAGGTCATCCAGCCTGCAGATACACCAGCGAGTTCACACTGGAGAGAGACCATTCACCTGCTCCCTGTGTGGGAAAGGATTCAGTCAGTCATCCAACCTGTTGAAACACCAGCAAGTTCACACTGGGGAGAGACCATTCACCTGCTCCCTGTGTGGGATGGGATTCACTCAGTCATCCAGCCTGCTGAGACATCAGCAAGTTCACATTGGGGAGAGACCGTTCATTTGCTCCCAGTGTGGGATGGGATTCACTCAGTCATACCACCTGCGGATACACCAACGCAGTCACACTGGGGAGAAACCATTCGCTTGCTCCGATTGTGGGAAGGGATTCACTTTGTCATCCAGCTTGCGGAAACACCAGCGAATTCACACCGGGGAGAGACCATTCAGCTGCTCTGAATGTGGGAAAGGATTTGCTCAGTCATCCAGCCTGCGGATACACCAGCGAATCCATACTGGGGAGAGACCGTTCACTTGCGCTGTGTGTGGGATGGGATTCACTCAGTCATCCAGCCTGCGGATACACCAGCGAGGTCACACTGGGGAGAGACCGTTCACTTGCGCTGTGTGTGGGATGGGATTCACTCAGTCATCCAACCTGCAGATACACCAGCGAGTTCACACTGGGGAGAAACCATTCACCTGCTCCCTGTGTGGGAGAGGATTCAGTCAGTCATCCAACCTGCGGAGACACCAGCGAGTTCACACTGAGGAGAAACATTCACTCAGTTAACACACCAGCGTGTTCACTCTGGGGAGGGACCATTTACTTGTTCCGTATGTGGGAAGGGATTTACTCTGTCATCCAAAATGCTAACATACCAGTGAGATGACACTGGATGGATCCTGGTCACCTGCTCTGTTTGTGTAAAATATTTGCTGTTTGCAAATACATTGGCAAATTTACAAAGAATTGCAGGTGAAGGGTTTTCCTTTTGCTTACATCATTGACTGAACCTTGGTCCTTGGGCTGTTTGTATTGATATTATTAAACCCAACTCTATTAAAGGTGCTGATAAAATTGTCAATAAAATGTTGATACAATTGTGTATCTGTATGGTAAGTTTTGGAAATGATCACAATGTCACTGTACATCAACCCATTTACACTGGGTAAAGACTGTCCACCTGCGTACTGTTTGTAAAGTGGTTTTATGGTTCATCAGGATTGCTTAAACAGGTAGGAGTTCCCTCGTAACTGTCAGTGTTGGATTTTGATGCTGTTGTCTGTATCCAAACCACGTTTTCTGGACCTGTTTCTGATGATGTTTGTAAACCCCACAGGTTCAGTGACTTATTTGGGATAAAAAGTAATACAAATCAGCTTCTTGTTAAAACTATGTTGCATTAAGTCTACCTCATTCTGCGTGCCTTAGAGATAAGATAATCATGTGTACCCTTCATATGAGCAATTTGGGAGAAGGCACATCCAGAGTGAGATATAGCCTGTAATGCTGGAAATTTTGTTACAAATGCTGTTTGGCTGTATGTAACCTAACTTCGCAAAGGGATGGGATCCAGAGAGAATGTCCAAAAGCGTAAGAAGAAAAGAGAAGAATCAACAAGTGAGTTAGGAAGGCATTGACATTAAAGCCGGTTGAGGTACCAGGGAGTTTGACATGATTGAATGGCATTGATTTTAATGCTACGCATTTGACAAACAAGGCAAAGGAGGATACACATTAAAACATGGGGATATGATGACATGCTGTCACTGAGACATGGTTGAGAGAGAGGTGGGATTGGAGACTCAATACTCCAGAATGCAGGGTCTTCATGTGAGAGAGCAAAGGAGGCAGAAGAGGAGGAGGTGTCACAATTACATTCAGGGAATTTATTACAGCTTGGATAACTCCTTAAATAAACCCATATGGGTAAAACTATAAGAACAGGTAAGGAGGCAAATTTCAGAGAAGTGTAAAAGTAATAGAGAAGTGAGAACAGAGGATTTCAATTTCCCCAACATTAACTGTGGTTGTCATAGTGTGAAAGGTTTAGAGGAACTTTTAATATAAACACAGTGCAGCTTTTGAAACCAGTATGTAGAAGTCCCAACAAGAAAGGGGGAGATCCAGGACTTAACTTCAGGTAACGACAGCAGCCAAGTAGTGGAAGTATCAGCGGGGGAGTATTTTGCAAACAGTTATCAGAATTCTTTTGAAAAGATTCAAGATTGTTATGGAAAAGAACAAAGTTGGGCCTGCAATCAAAGTTCTAAATTGGTTGATTTTAATAAGGCCAGATATGATTTGGCCAGAGTGCGCAGGGAGCAGATACTTTCAGGTAAATGTGCAAGACGGAACATAAATGGGGTGATAAGGAGAGCTATAAGGGGAATATGAGTTGATACGGCCGAGTAAAATAAAGCAAAACGTTCAGTTGTTTTACAGGTACATTAATGGTTATAGGATAATGGGGAATGAGTAAGGCCCATTAGGGACCACCAAGATAATGTGTGTGGAACTGGAGGATGTAGGTCTGGTTCTAAATGGATACTTTGTCGTGTCAGTGAACACTAGTGAGAGACAAATCAGGGAGAATTGCTGTGATAGAATTTAAAGAAATTTGCATAGAGAGAGGAGGTTTTGAGTCATCTGGCAGGCTTCAATGTCAATCAACCTCCAGAGTCAGGTGAAATGTATCCTATGTTGTTGGAACGATAAGTTGTTAAGATGAAATAGCAGGGGCCCTCGCAAAAATTTTCGATTCCCCTCTGACCACAGAAAAGGTACTAGAGGACAGAAGGACAGTCAAAGTGGAACTTTTATTCAAGAAGGGAGCGAGGGATAAACCTAGAAACTGCAAGCCAGTCAGTCTCATCTTGGTTTACCAAAAGTAATTCTGAGGGACAGGTTTAATTTGCATTTGGAGAGGCAGGGATTAATCAACAGTCGGCATGCATTTAGTAAAGGGGAGTTCACGCCTAACCAACTTGATTCAATTTTTTTTTGATGTATATCCAGTTGTATCAATGAGGGCAATACTTTTGATGTAGTCTCCATGGATATCAAGGCTTTTGATAAGGTCCTGCATGGGACACCGTTAGCAAAGCTGAGTGCCCATGGAATCCATTGAAATTTGGCAAATTGGATCCACAATTGGGTGAGTGGCAAGGAGCAGCGGGTGATGGTTAAGGGATATTTTGCTGACTGGAAGTCTGTGTCTAGTGGGGTCCCATAGTGGTCAGTGTTTGGCCCTTGCCATTTATAAATGACTTAGACTTGAATGTGGGAAGGTTGATCAGTTAGTTTTCAGATGATACAAAAGTAATTGGTGGTAAATAGTGAGGAAGATAGCCTTAGCTTACAGAGGATATAGACAGGCTGGTCAGTGGTAAATTGAATTTAGCCTGATTAGTGAGAAGCATTACATTTGGATAGGATAATGTGTTCATTGTGTTTGGCTGTTATCCAAAAGATTAGTGGTTGGTAGAACCGCCAGGGAATGAAGAATATTTCTTTTTTCCATCAGCATACTCCATGACACAGTCCTGGATTGTCAATGGGGATTTTGGCAGCAAGACAATTTTGCCCAAATGTTGCTTGCTCCGCAGTTAGACCTCAAAAGACAGCTTCTAATGCATGGTGCTGCAAATTAAGAAGAAAGAAAATGGAATTTTGACCTTAATCGCTAATTAAACAAAACATTTTCCACCAACTGAGTTAACCTTGCCTCCTGTAGCAAGTGTTCAAATCATATTGTACAAGGTGAGAAATGTGCTTTTCACCTGAGCTTTGAGGTGTCTATGTGCAAATCTTTCCCTTCTAATATCCTTTAAAATGAGTTTTTAAAAGTTATCACAACAGTGCAGGGTAAATCAGAATAGACATTTCTAGCTTCAGGGTGAGTTTCTCTTTTAATCCCAAAAGCTGGAAGTTACCTTCCCACACACCCTCCCTTCCTTTTCACACAGCTGTAACTCATTCTCCTCAAGACGAAACGTCATGCTGATCAACAGATCACTGTTCAGTTCTTGCTATCTGGGACAAACAAGCCTGAAAATCCTCTTGCTGGCTCTGACACTAAATGTATATGCATACATGAGTGAATTATATACGTATTTTATAGACAGTGTATTACTTCCAAATTACTGTCCCTTAAATCCTGACCATCTCTGATAGAAATTGTGAACATGAGGAAAGAGGCCACCCTTTTAGCCAGGCAAATAAATGTGTGAAGCTAAGAAAACAAATGATGACGACAAATTTAAGAAAGACACACCTGAACCAACATTTCCAGACTATGTTCCTTCTTGGATTCACTTCTACTCCCTTCAGTGTTATAAGGGAACAGTTTTCTCCCCGTCCCTCCCAGAATGAGAAAAGAAAGAGAGGGAGACAACAAGGTGCAGGGCTGGATGAACACAACAGGCCAAGCAGCATCATAGGAGCAGAAAGGCTGACGTTTCGGGCCTAGACCCTTCATCAGAAAAGGGGGAGGGGAAGGGGGTTCTGAAATAAACAGGGAGAGAGGGGGAGGCGGATATTCTGAATAAATAGACGTTGCTTTGCTCCCAGATGTTGGCAAGAAACGCGAAAGATAATAGCTGTTTAGTGACATCCATAATAGAGGGGCGGGCTTGCCTGAAGCAACCAATAGGAATTAGTTCGGCGGTGACGTCCAGGGTACCCGGCGCAAGGACATGGGAGCTCCGCCCCCACGCAATGTTGCCCCCTCCCTCCTGGTGCCAACGTTTCCAGGGCAACCGGCTGCCGGCTTGGACCAGAGCAAGAAGCTGCTCGGTGGTCGCCCACAAAGAGCCAGGCTGTGGTATCAGCCACACTGCGCCTGCTCCGGACAGAGGGCCCGCACTGCGCTTGCGCTGTCCTCCAGTTGTGGGGAGACCGGTTTAGGAAACCTCCTCCTTTCACTTTCCTTTAGGTTCTGTAACAGCCCAGGGTTTGTGAATTTTCTTTAGGAAGAAGAAGCGAACCAAGTCTGAAAGAGTCATTTGACGAAACAGAAATTGAATATGATCACTCCTTGCCTGTGTTCTGTCTGTGCGGAAAGATATGTAGCATGTGGAAATAAAGAGGAAAGGCCATGGAGGAATTTGAAAACAAGGATGGAAATTTTAAAATTAAGGTGTTGCTGAACAGGGGTCCTTAGACTTCTGTACATGTTTATTGATGGGATGTGTGTATTGCTGCTTGGATCAGCATTGATTGCCCATCTCAGGTGCTCTGGTAAAGCTAGTGCCATTGACCAGGTGTGTGATTTTTGACTGCTCAGTGCAGAGGGGCTGAGCAAGGTGGAAGATCTTCTCTTGGAGCTGCAGTGTGTTAATTTAGATTAGATGAGCCCAAGGAAGTAGGGCTCACTGTTGCTACCAACCTCTTTTCTGTGGTCTTGTCTGTGCCTGAGTAGCTTGGGAGAGGGAGCATGCTGTATCCACAAGTACGATTGATACCTTCCATATCTAGCACTGCATAGACACTGGGGATAACTTTCTGGTTTAGTTGGAAACATTCCTGCTACATTTGTATTGGCATCCTCGTATAGGTGCAATCATTTTCTGATTGTTGATGGGGTAGGCAAGTGAGTATAAATGCAAGAAGAACTGTGTAAATCATTAGATCATGGTTAATGTAATAGAATCCTGAAAGTTAATGTAATAGAATCCTGATTGGTAATTATTTGTACAATATGCACCAGACTATTAATGTCATCACGTCCTGTTTATTAATGTGTTAACCTCCTGAAAGATGAAGTAATGAGAGTCTGATTATTAATGTAGTTGGTTTTGAGCATTGATATAGCAGGATCCTCATTATCAATAAGATTCTGAATATTAATGTAACTTAGTAATGATTACTCATGCATAACGATACTGATTCTTGATACAAGATGATCCTGATTACTGAAAATTCATCTCTCTTCGAAAAGGAATAAATAGCTACCTTTTCAGAGGCTTGCTTTGAAGCAACAGTGGGGCCTCTGCTAACAACGAATTAAACATAGGAATTTTAAAGGACCTCATAGTTGTCAGTCCGAGCTCCACAGCAGCCATTGATGACTGGGAACTTGCAAATGCAACAGACAGATTCT